ATTACAGTAATCCTCCTGTCTACAATCACCTGCGCACGTTTGGCTGCCTCTGCTATCCTTGGCTTCGTCCGTATGCCACGGACAAGCTCTCTATCAGATCGGCGGCCTGTGTTTTCCTGGGCTACTCACCAATTCACAAAGGCTACAAATGCTATAATCTCCTCACCGGTAAAACACATATATCTCGCCATGTTGTTTTTCACGAACAACAATTTCCCTACAAACAAACCTACACTGCTTCTCCTCCTTCCGCTACATCCCATAGCCACAGCATTCCTCCCCCTCTTCTCATTCCCACTTATGCCATTCAACCACACCAAGATACGAACATTAATCTTTCCCCTCCCTCACCTCCCACCGCTACCAACTCAATGCCGAGTACTTCTCACGCAGAGCCTCATGACACTTATCCTGAATCACTTCTCCCTACTCACACTCAGCAACCAACCTCTACAACCCGCCAATCTCACCCGATGCAGACTCGCTCTAAATCTGGTATTCACAAATCCAAACAAATTCTAAACCTTCTCACCCAAACCACTATCACCTCTACACCCACAACCTACAACCAAGCAAAGAAAATAGATCACTGGCAGAAGGCCATGAACTCTGAATTTGAGGCCCTCATACAGCAAGCAACCTGGACCTTAGTCACACCGCCACCAAACAAGCCGGTATTGGGATGTAAGTGGACTTTTAAAACCAAAATGCTTCCCAACGGTCAAGTTGACTGTTACAAAGCAAGGCTGGTTGCCCTCGGCTACAATCAAAAGTTCGGCATCAATTACACAGAGACCTTTAGTCCTATGGCGAAAATGCATACGATTCGATTACTTCTTACTGTTGCACTTCACCGCAAATGGACGATGTACCAACTTGACATCTCCAATGCATTTCTGCATGGTGATATTCCCGACGACGTCTACATGCGCCAGCCACCAGGCTTCATTGATCCGAAACATCCCACCGCGGTCTGTAAGCTCCACAAATCACTATACGGTCTAAAGCAGGCGCCCCGACAATGGTTCCAGAAACTCACGAGCTTCCTTCAATCGCAAGGATTCACATTCAGCCGATTCGATCCATCCCTTCTACTTCTCAATACGGTACACACTCAACTTTACATTCTTATTTATGTTGACGACTTTCTCGTTACAGGCAATGATCCCGCCGCCATCCAAAAACTTCTTCAACAACTACAATCACAATTCAAACTCAAACAGCTCGGCCAAATCTCTCTCTTTCTTGGCATCCAGGTAATTCAATCTAAAACCGGATACTTTCTCTCCCAAGAACACTATGCTACTAAGCTTCTCAATGATGCAGGATACGCGAACTGTAAATCTGCCCCGACTCCAATCACACTGCCTTCAAAACAGCAAGGGACGAACAACTCTCCTTTTCACGATCCCACCTTATATCGTCGTCTCGCCGGCTCGCTTCAATACCTATCCATCACTCGTCCCGACATAGCCTACGCCACCAACCGGGTATGCCAGCACATGCAGAGTCCGACTGATCAAGACTTCCGCGCCCTCACTCGTCTGCTTCGATATATCAAGGGCACCCTCTCTTACGGTCTTCCTATCACCATAGGGAGTCTCGACCTTCACTCATACTCTGACGCGGACTGGGCGTCCGACTCCACCGACCGAAAGTCCATCTCCGGATTTTGTACCTTCCTCGGTCCTAACCTCATCTCCTGGACTGTCAAAAAGCAAGCTACGGTGGCTAAATCCTCAACCGAGGCCGAGTACAGATCGCTGTCAGCAGCAGCATCGGAGGTTATTTGGCTCCGTCGCCTGGCGACCGAGCTACACATACCGCAAAAATCTCCAACCGTTATACACTGCGATAACACATCTGCAATTGCAATAGCCAAGAATCCGGTTTTCCACGCCAGAACGAAACATATCGAGATAGACTACCACTTCATTCGGCAACACATCAACTCCGGCAATCTTCGACTTGTACACATCTCTTCCAACGACCAAATAGCGGACATCCTCACTAAGCCATTCACAACATCCCGGTTCTCCGATCTTCGCAGCAAATTAAACATTCGTCCAACGAGTGTCTAATTTGAGGGACGATATAAGCACCAACGGCTATATTTGCATTTCCTTTATGTATTTACTTTTCATACCAACATGTACCGCTTATATATATGTAACTCCTGTACATCCTAAGACAACGAGAATACAATTCTTCTATACTTTCTTCTCTGTTTCTTTCCCTCGTGTCTTTCCTCTCTCCGCCTACCTTCTCTGTTTCTCTCAATCAGAAGATTGATTGTTGTAAAACAGAATTCCTTTTTGATAATTGATTTTAGTGCCAGTCATAGATTTCTTAGTAAAAGAGCTTCAACTCCTTTTTCGCAAATTACTGATTACTGAAGCTAATAACAACTGGAGGAGAGCCTATTCCTTTAATGCTTTATTTTACTATTAGAATTGTCCATAGACTTCACTTCAGTAGCTTAATTTCCCTGGACCATTGTTATTGGATAATAATTAACATGTGTGCTAGACATGATCTGAAGCTTTAAAGTGAAGTTTAGTTTGCCAAAGATGCGAATAGCATAAAGAGCTCTTCATGAATCAGATTCTAAGTTCACTGAAGCAAATAAGTACCTATATATCTCAAATTTTTATTTATATGTTACATAAAATTAGTTAGTTTTAAGTTTCCATACAGCTTTATATGATATTTAATGACAAAGAGAAGATATGACAACCATTATAAAGGTAAATTTTATATATAAATTAACATAAATTGCCTCTGATTAGAAATATTGAACATTAGAAACCGGGTAATATTTGTCATAGGATAGGAACATAAAAGAATCATGAATCTTCACTTAATAATGTGAACAAGGAATCTCATAAATTTAATTGGGGATAATTGTAACATAATATTTTGGAATCATTGAAATTTTAAATAAACAATATTACATAAAAAATGAAAAGATAAAATCCTATATTAGGATAAATAGCACAAATTCCACAAGCATTAAAAAAAAAAGATTTCAATAAAACAACAATTTATAAAATTCACAAAGTTCTATACCCACAATGAATTAAAACCTAGCCCAAAATTAAAATACAATAAAAAGAATTAATTTTATTAATATAAATTAAATCTGAAACATAAAGATGAACTTGATAAATGATTTACATCATAAAATTAATTACCTAAATTTGAAGCCAAAATGGTATCGAAATTCACAGGTTCACTGAAGTAGAGATCTAGAAACGAAAAAGCTAAAGGAAGAACATGTGAGAATAATATATAAGGGAGAAAGAGAATATGCGACATTCATCTTACAGCCACCGAACGGTTGGAGGTTGCAACGTTTCGACGGTTGAATTCATCTTCATGCATCCAAATTAATTGGAGAAGGGATCGTGAAACGTTTAAGAAGTTGAAAACACGAAATGAAGAAGCGGGTGATTAAATGCCGGGAGTTACTAACATTTAATATTTTGAGGCCACGAAACCTACCGGAGGAGATGACGGCGAGCGGAAGCAGCAAAACGTTGAAGAATTTCAGAAGACTGATTTAATTGGAGAGAAACCTACCTGACGACGAGTGGAATCAGCTAGGGCAAGCCGAAGAATATGGAGACGGGGCGAAGACAAAGAATCGCGATATTAGGGTAGGTTTACACTTGACGGAATAGAAATAAAAGGCGGAGATTAAAACGTGCAGAATTAATATATAATAAATAAAGTAGCAAAAAAGTAGAGAATATCAGAATAGGAATAGAGAAAGCAAAATGTCCGTTTAATATAATAAACGGAACTTAGGAAATCTGAAGGGTCTTTAAAATTAATTGTGATTTTTTTTTGAATAAATAAAGTAGCAAAAAGGTAGAGAATATCAGAATAGGAATAGAGAAAGCAAAATGTCCGTTTAATATAATAAATGGAACTTAGGAAATCTGATGGGTCTTTAAAATTAATTGTGAATTTTTTTGATTTAATAAAACATGTAGTGAAGAATAGACATAGGAAAACAGAAATTAGGAATCTCAAGGGGCCATAAAATTAAATGAGCTTTATATAATGATTTTTTTGATTTATTAAATACTTTTAATAGAATGGACGGCCAAGATAATTAAAGAATAAGTAGAATGGATGACAAATTTTGTTAGAGGAAGGAAACTCAAGCCCCTTTTATAATAGTAGTATAGATATAGATATATCACTGATAGTTTCCTAATAGCTTCTATCAATTAAAGGTTCACACACATATATTAGAATTATGCACATGCTTATGAGGGAACTTAATGTGAACACGCATTTATTTTTATCCTTAAATTGATATAAAAATTTTTATAGAAGAGTTACAGTTAAATTTTAAATATTATTTGAGAATTATGCATATATAAATACGCGGCTGTTTATATAAAAGGCGGCGATTTGCAAAAGTTAGGGTTTTCGGGCTTTGTTCACGAGTTTGTGCCATGGCCAAGTTCAACCAGATCCAGAAGGCGAGGCGAGAGATGATTCAGGATCGGAAGCGGGCCGTTCAAGGCGATCCTAACACTCGGAAGCTAAAGCAGAAGGTTGAGCCTATCCCTATCTCTGGTAAACGGAAGCGGAAGCTTTTCAAGAAATGGCGAAGGGTGCCCTCTCTCACTCATTCCTTTTTGGATCTTGTATTCTTGTTGTATCTGAAAAAAATCAAAGAATAATCATTTGTGTGATCAGGAGAAAAAAGCGGCGATGGAGAAGGGTTTGGTGACTATGGAAGACATTGAGATGGAAGTCGCAGATGGTGTGTCTCTTTTTTTGTCGTTTTTGTTTTATATTTGCTTGAATTTATGTTTTAGTTTTTTATACAGTATGAAATTGGGTGTGAAATGATGATCCTTTCCCCACATGATCGACAATGATTATACTGTGCGCTTTCCATGTATTTCTCTTCGGAGAAATCAAGCCAGTGGTTCTGATCACCCCCCTATTTCTAACCCTAACTTTTTTTCAATTCCATCCATTGATATTTTTAAATGAATTTGTAGTAGATGCTGATATGTTGTCGCTAATGCAACCAGAATGCGAATATACTTCATAAGCGAATCCTTTTTCTCTAATATATTTTACCAAATTAATGTTCAGTAATTTTTTTATTCATGTCCTTCTTTATTGTGGTTGAATTGAGTAGGAGTATGAGTAGGAATAAAGGATTAGCTACCTGTTAATTTTTACTTTCTCTAAACTCCTAAGATTGACTGGATTTAGTTTTTATTTTGATGTTCTTTTTGGCTCTGGTTTTTTCTTGTTTCCAATAAACATGTTTCTTTGATAAAATTTGTTGAGTTGTGGAGGATTACGAATATCAAGCTGCATATTCCTTCAAAAAAAATTGTTTTATTGGCCAGCCTATTTATCATTGTTATTGTTGGCCCTTGTCCATTTTACATTATGGACACCTTTTGATTTTGGGTATGCTTAGATTGTCATCCTTTTCAATTCCATGCTACCCTTTTTATGTTAAATTGCTAATATACAATGTCGTAATGCTATCATTCTCAATGATTGATGATACAAGTGCAGAGAGTTTAGTATGTTTCAAATAATATTATTATCATATTTTTATAATTTGCAAGCTGTGGTTGATTAATGCATAGTTTAATGCTAGTTAATTTGTGTTTCTGTGGGATTCATAAGATTTATCTTATTTTGATATCTATAGTCTTGGATATTATTGGCCTGCCTGTTTAAGGAGAATTTAGAAAGTGATTTGTGGTGTAATTTTCTACTATAGTCTGTTATTCAATGTTGCATTTGGATGTACATCTTCTTATGGTTACTTGTTTGTAAAATCTTCCTGGTTTTAGGAACTTCTCAAGTTAAACAGGAGAAGACTCAGACAACATTTCACTTAAAGAAGGCTTCGAGGCTTAGAATCAAGAGATTAAAAGCAAAGGGTAAGCTTTTTTCCTTTCTAAGACCAATATTTAAAACATCATAATATCATTTACTTAAAGTAGGCTGTCCCAATTTGAAGATGAAGTTATGTATTTACTTCAGTTTATTTGGGCAGCTTGAGTTGCCTAATATGTTTATTATTTGTCAGAAGTTAAGGAAAATTTTATTTTGGTTTTGTGGAAGTAAATTTGTTTTTGTTTAAATAAGGGGTGGGTGCACTGAATCTGTACATGGAAGGCTATCAGCAGTGGGCAGCCTCATGTTAAGTTTCAGTTTAACTAAATAATGATTTTAGGCTTATAATCTATGAGTTTGAATTTTTTTGGCAATTTGTTTGGATTTCCCCCTCAAACCATCATATGATATCACTATAATTTTTATTTTTTTGGTGCTGTGGAGTTTGGCATGAAATTTCAGTGATGTTTCATATTCACACCAATTTGATTCTTTTGAAGATCGGCCATCATATATCAATTGACAACTAGAAAACTTGTACGTATTGTTTTAATTCCGGCAATGACGGCTTGTTAGAATAGACTAAGTTAGGTTATGGACGCAATACAGTACCTATGATTTCCTTGTGCAGTTAACGCCTCCCTACCTTTTCTCTTAATTATATATTACTTTCTACACTTCCGGCGTTTTTTTTATTTTTTTGGGAAATTGAGGGTCACGCGCAGCGTATTATTTGATAAACTTTGATTACACGTGTTGCAATTTTCACAAATAAGAGAACTATCAGGAATATGGGTAGATCACATTAAATTATTACATTTATATCAAGAAAATGAACAAAAGCTAAATACCCAAAAAAGATTTATAATAACCCCAAAACTCAAAGAAGACGTCGCCACTAAAATGTAGTAACCATTCGAGATAGATAAAAAAATGTAGAAACTGCTAATCTTTATTAATAGAAGTTTGAAACATAAAGGTTACCCAACAAATGAGAAATGTTTCAACAATCTGCCCATGAAGTGTTTCAGAATGAACATCAGAATAGAATATCACCAATAGCCATCCATATTTAGCCAATCAATCACAAAAAAATGATCAGAAAGATAATCAACCATAGTAGGTGAAAACAAAAAAAAATTACTAACATCATAAGTAGAGAAATACATTAAAACACAATAATTAATAATAACAATAAGAAAACATAACAACAGACAAGAAGAAATACATTACAAAGAACCTCTATTTGTGAGAAAATCAATCCAAAAACCAATAGAAATGCCACACGACCATCCAAAGAAAGGAGAGGTCAGAAAACTTCTACCAATAAACTAGAGACATTATAACCGCCATAGCAACCGAAATATATTAGGTAAAGACATCTTCTATATTCCATCTTTTGCTTTCGAGTCTTATGGCAAATGAATTTTTTCAATCAACATTTTGCCGTTGTCCTTTTTTTTCCTCTAAAAATCCTGTTATTCCTTTCTTTCAATCCTATGCTTTCCGTGTTTAGTTTACTTTGTTTATGAGCCTAGATTAAGGTCCTTTTTGGTTGGGTAATTTTTTTTTCCAGTTTTTCTACATGAAAAGCTGCTTTTGTGCTTCGGTTGGTGCTTGGATGTTTGGATTGTTTTTTTTTTCACTAGCCATATGAAAAGTTACCGTCATTTAAATTAAAAGAGTGAATAAGATTTTTTCAGTTTAGATGGTGAAATAGCTTCACAATACCTTTTTTATTGCATCTGCATCATAGGTACAATCAAACTACTCCAACTAAGGCTTTCGTTTGTGACTGTTTTTGTGGTATTAAAAACATTAAACTAAAATAGTGTTCTTGTGGATGACAATATTTGCTACCTTTTTTAAAATTTGCCTTAAAAATGATGCTTTTGGGTATGCATAATGGAAATTGCGATTGGAAAAGTAGAAAACGCATGCCAACTCAAATGAAACCAAGAATTTGTATGGGGTGGTTATAATTTTTTGTGCAAGTAGTGATATAAATGTTGTTGGAACACATTTTTTTAGAAAATCGTTATGGATATTATAAATTTTGGACAAATTTATTATACTGACATATTTAACTTCTTAAACAGTTGTTTTTAACCGCAGAAATTTATGAAAAATGGGAAGAAAATTATAGCCAAGCAGATTTGTGACAAAATTCATAAAAAATGAAAATTTGAAGAAGTTTCCCAAAAGGCCAAAACGTAGCCCAACTCGCAACAGCTTATTACCACTGATTTCCTTCTGCTCAACTAACTGTATAGACAGCAATGGTTAAACCAAATTATCTCAAAGGGATTTAAACTAGAAATTATTCTGTGCGGAGACTGGACATAAAATGCCATCCGGAAACCAATTAAAATGTGTCATGTCAGCGGTACCGAGTTGCGTTCACCGAACGGTACCGAGTACAAGGTGATGTGGCACATTTTGGTTGGTCTATTCGGCGTCCGCACAGAATAATTAATCCCTTTAAACATGGTAACAGGCCCTGCTATGCTGCAAATTGCTTTTGCCGATCACCGAATGTGCTCTAATCGGCTAATCTTAGTGGTAGAATGCATGAGTGCAGCTTCCCTGACGTGAGCCGCTTGTATATCAGCTAATTATCTGATGTTCCGAGTTGACAGCTCATGCTGAATATTGCAGGTTTAATATTATAAGTAATATGAAATGTGCTTCCTAATGTTTGCCATATCCTATGTGCAGGAAGGGGCAAGAAAAAATCATCTGGTCAGTCAGATGTTGCAGCAAATGATGCCATGGTAGAGTGATTATCTCTGTAATGCTGTCTCACTGAAGTAAGGACATTTAGGCTGTGATCTCCTGTGAAGATTTAGTTCAGGTATGTTTTGAACTATCATTGCAGACTGAGTTCTAAGTAGTTGTTATTTTGTATAATAAATTAAATTTTAAGTTTAATGTAGTCATATTTTCCTTATTTTTCAATGTTGAAATGAAAAGGATATAAATTAAAAATAAAATATTAGAATTAGAATACCTTTAAGGTTTCATTTGAAACAATTTTCTTAAAAAAAATATTGCATCATTTTTATTTCTAATATTTATCTCTTATTATATCTATATATCATGATCTAGTTCGAGCTTGAGTTTTTTTACCCAAGTTGAGCTCAAACTTGATCTGAGTATTTGTATTACTGTTCAAATTCAGTTCATTTGAAACTACAATTGTTTGAGTTTGGTTTAGCTCTGATCGGTAGTTAATCAAATAAGCTTTAAGTTCAACAAACTTGTTTATTAATAGGCTAAGTAAGTTTTTTTTTTTTTGGATAATTAACAAGTTGTTAATGGATAACATTATCAAATAGTTTGTTAATTATCCAAACAAGTTTTACTGAACTTATTAATAAACAAGTTTGGTGAATTTAAAAAAAAAGAAAAAGATATTTTATTTGAATGACTTTTAAATAAACAATCAGTTTAATAACCATCAATAGTTAGCATGTAATTAGGGCTGTCAAAATGGGATCACGGATTTGGTTTGGGTTCAACCTGAAATTGATCCGGCATTGTTTGACCCGACCTGAAATGGTCCCATTTTTTATTTTTTTGGATCTGAACCCGACCTCTTTTGAGTATTTACTAAATTTTTTTATTTAATTTGATTTATTTAAATCTAAATCAAATTAAGATAAGATTTATTTCAGTCTATTTAAATAAATCAAGCTTAATTTAGTTTGGGTAATATGGTTTATTATTTTCGGAAATAATAATTACTTATTTCATAACATTTTTTAAAACCCTCTTAAATCAATTAAAAATTGGTCAAATCGGGTTGATTTTGAGTTTTTTGGTCAATTTGAATTTGACCCAATTTTACAAATGGGTTGAAATCCCTAACTCGAACTCGATCCAATTTGGACAACCCTACATGTGGTCATGATAATTTAATATAGGAAAGAATAAGACTCGTATGTCATTGCATATAACTAAATTTATAATCAAATCTTAAATGAGTATATTATCAAGTCTTAATTGCGCTTTTGAACAAGCATTGTCATGACTTTGAAATGATATTGTTTATGATCCTAGATGAATTGAGCATTAAGTTGTTCAAATTTGTTCATTTATCAATCAAGTATTTATTAAAATATTCAAATTTTTTCAATTAATTAAATAAATAATCATTAACAAATTCTATCGTGCTAAAGCCTATGCAAATAATCATTAGAAGACACGTGCAAAAGTTAAAGGTCAACAGACAAGAAACATAGAAACCTTAATCAAAAGTGAAAAATAAAACATAAATCTTCCTTTAAAGCTCGACAAGGAACATACGTCTCCATGAACTATGAAATTCTCCTTTAATCTCAGTATATAGAGATTCCCTTTAGTTCAGGGATGAAATGCCTCCATTTTGCATGTCTAGCTAGGTTTCAGAGTTACAATTAGGGGTGTTAATTCGGGTCAACGGGTTGGGTTTGGGTTGAAACTGGAACTGACCCGGCACTAATCGGTCAACCTGAAACCGACCTGTTTTTAAAAATGGGTCAGGTTTTCGGACTTGAACCCGACCCAATTCGGGTCCAGGTCAACCCGACTTGACACGAATGACCCAAAGTTGACCTAAGATTGCTAATTTCTAGGTCAAAAATCAGGCTAATCTTTGATTTTCGGGTCAAAATTAGGTCAATCTCGGATTTTCGGGTCAAATAGGAGTTTTCGAGTTATTTTCGGGTTGCTGGGTCAATCCTAACTCGACCCGATTTTTAAAATGGGTTGATTTGTTGAACTCGAACCCGACCCGTTTCGGGTCCGGGTTGACCCTAACCTGAATTTTTTTTCGGGTCGGGTTCTGGTCGTGTTTCGAGTCGTTTCAAAAATTGACACCCCTAGTTACAATTGCATTTTGAGCTCATTTGATTGTGAAAATACATTTTGCAACATGATTTTTTATGTTTATTTATTTTTACTTTGTGTGAAAGTTATCAAACATTGTCTTCCGTAGGAACTTTTATTAAGTCCGGTGTAAGGACGTAGAGTAATGTCCGGTTGGAGGCAAAATTTGACAAAAAAATTTGGTATTTGCTTGGTACAACTATGTATTATTTGATATTAACGAGGAATATCGCTCTTTGAAGACCAATACCGAGTTATACTGAGCTGTACCGAGAAATACTGAGTTGTACCGAGTTTTTCTAGGAAAAACTCGGTACAAATTTTGTATAACTCGGTATTTCTCGGTTTAGCTCGGTATAACTCGGTATTGGGTCTTCAAATGATGGTATTCCTTGTTATTGTTTGGTATTGGTCGGTGCAACTCGTTTTTTGGCGGGATTTGGCCTCTGACCGGATGTTCCTCTGCGTCCGGTCGGAGGACGTAATAATTGTTCCTTCCGTAGCCGGCTATCCATCGCCATCTTTTTCTTATATAATATGTGATTTAAAAAAAAAGAAAACCTTAATTGGACAGGACAGTAGAACACTACCACAACTTTCAAAATGTATTTTGCATAAATTCAACTTTAAAATAATTTGAAGAAAAATGACAACTGAGAAAAACAATACAATACTACATTTTTAGGGTTTACATTATTTAATAATGACAAATATAAAATAAATACTTCATTGTACTTTCAAATATATGTATTTTAATCACTCTATAATTCTAAATGCATATTCTTTAAAAATATCAAAGAAACTATCCCTTAGATACTTCATAAATATTTTATGAATTAAAGGTTTAAAGGGCCATGCTACAAAATATATATGCTTCAGATAATTCTTCTCGAAGATTTGACATGTCTTTAAGAGATGATGAAATTATTCTTTTCGTCTCTATTAAATCCTACAAGTGTTATTAGAGCCTGATTTTCATGTTGAATCAACGAGAAATGATTTTCCCTAAGTATTTTTTTAATTGTTTGAGTTTTTTTATCAAAGGAAATATTCATTTGGAATAATTATGATTTCTTAATATAAAATATTGGCAAGCAATTTTTTAAAATTTATTTTGCTTTGTCTTGAAAAATTGAGAGATGACAATGTTCAACATTACCATAATAGTTTTAATTCTTCACTACTTTTGTTGTCATAATTGAGTTCATCATTTTCATGGATTTAATTGAGAATGCCAAAGTTGTCATTGTTGATGAATTTGCAGTATAAAGAACGGTTATTTTGCTATTAATTTTTAATTTGTCGGTTACATATATGTATTTATATTCTTAATGACATGAGTAATTATGTATTTATAATGTCATTAAATTAATTAATGACTTATAACTTCCAAATTATATATATTTATATTCTTAATGACATGAGCAGTTATGTATTTATAACTTCATTAAATTAATTGAATGACTTATAACTTTCAAATTAAATATATTTATTGTCTTAATGACACTTTAATGGCATGTTAAAAGTAAATTAATTTTATTTGTCTTATGCCTGACATTTTCAAAGCAATGTTGAAATCGATGCATTGTGAATATGTTTTTAATTATTTCTTGATCAAAGTTATCATTTGATGCATTTTTTTATATGTGGATAAATGTTGATAATTAAATCAATTAAATTATTGATAAAATATATTTATCAATTAAATATTTCTCATTTGAAATAATTATTCATTATTTTAAAATTAAATTAAACTAAAATAATATATCACCAAAGTGATCTCAATTAAATCAATTTATTTAATTTAAATTAATTAAATAATGCTTAAGATTTTTCAGTCTACGGGAAAATTAATCGTTCCAAAGGACAATTATTTTTTTAGCCGGACTTTAAAGATGTAGTAATAAATATGTGATTTTTTTAAATTATTCATGCGTATAGTAAATAAGTAAAAAAAATTATTATTAGTAGAATTTATTATCAATATTTATTAACTATAATTTTAAGAGTATCGTTTACAAATTATAATTTTTGTCGATAGATTGAATTATGATGTTGTGTTATGTATCTTATAAATTAAAGGTACCACCTTATACTGTTACTAATTATGAGTTAATTATTTTGTTCTTTTTCAATTAATGTTTCTTCATTATCTGCCAATTTAAATAACATTCTAGTGTTTAATGGTCTAATTTTAAGAAATGGAAAGAGCACATTATTGTTTTTCTTGGGTGTATGGATCTAAATTATGCGATTCAAATTGAACGCCCTTCTACCCTTACTGCAGAAAGCACTATTGAATAAAGGACGGATTTTGAAAAGTGGGAGCGTTCAAATCGCATGAGTCTTATGATCATAAAACATTGTATGCCAGATATCATAAGGGGTGTAATGTCTAAGGAGAAAAATGCTAAGAAGTTCCTAAGCCAAATAGCATACTGTTTGTAGGTTCTAAAAAGGTCAAAATAAATACTATTCTTATTAAACTTATTTTAATACGATATAAAGGCAAATGGAACAAAAGGAAGTACATTATGAAAATGTATAATCTTGTTATAAGACTAAGAGCATTAAAGTTAGAAATGCCTAATGATATTCTTGTGCATCTAGTCTTAATTTCTCTTCATGTACAATTCAGTACTTCAGATAAATTACAATACTAAAAAAAAAAAGATTTTTAATGAGCTCATTGCTCAGTGTGTGTAAGAGGAAGAAATATTAAAATAAAAAAAGATAGAAAGTGCTCATTTAACTTCTTATTCTTATGATTTTTCTACCAAAAGAAAAAAAGAAATTATAAAGTTAAAGGAGCTACAAATAAAGGGATTTCAAAACCTAAAGTGCAACATAAATAAGATCTGGTTATTACTTTTTTCTTATGCAAGAAGACTGGTCATATGAATAAGGATTATCTAAAATATGCTAAGTAGCTTATCAAAAAAGGTAAACTTCTAAATCTTGTTTGTTCTGAAATTAATTTGGCCTTAGTACTAAAGCATACTTGGTGGATAGATACAGATGCAACTACTTACATAAGTGTGACTATGCAGGGTTGTCTAAGGAGCGGAGTGCCAACTGATACTGAAAGATTCATCTATGTGAGAAATGGCAATAAAGCTCATGTTAAAGCTGTAGGCTTATATAGATTGTACTTAGAATCTGGTTGTACTTTGTATTCCATCTTTTGCTTTTGAGTCTTATGGCAAAATGAATTTTTTCAATCAAATTTTTGTCGTTAGTCCTTTTTTTCCTCTAAAAATCCTGTTATTCCTTTTTTTCAATCCCCCATGCTTTCCCATGTGTTCAGTTTACTTTGTTTATGAGCCTAGATTAAGGTCCTTTTTGGTTGGGTAAATTTTTTTTCCAGTTTTTCTACATGAAAAGCTGCTTCTGTGCAGCGGGTTGGTGCTTGGATGTTTGGAGTTTTTTTTCCTAGCCACATGAAAGGTTACCTCATTTAAATTAAAAGAGTGAATATGATTTTTTTTCAGTTTAGATGGTGAAATAGCTTCACAATACCTTTTTTATTGCATATGCACCATAGGTACAACCAAACTACTCCAACTAAGGCTTTCGTTTGTCACTGTTTTGTGGTATTGAAAATATCCAACTAAAATAGTGTTCTTTTGGATGACAATTTTTTGCAGCCTTTTTTAAAATTTGCCTTAAACAGTTGCTTTTGGGTATGCATAATGGAAACTGCGATTGAAATAGTAGAAAACGTATGCCAACTCAAATGAAACCAAGAATTTGTATGGGGTGGTTAGAAATGTTGTTGGAAAACAAATTTTTAAAAAATCGTTATGGATATTATAAATTTTGGACAACTTTCTTATACTCTTAAACAGTTGTTTTTAACCGCAGAAATTTATGAAAAATGAGAACTAAATTATAGCGAAGCAGATTTGTGACAAAATTCATACAAAAAATGAAGTTTTGAAAAAGTTTCCCAAAACGTAGCCCAACTCGCAACAGCTTATTACCACTGATTTCCTTCTGCTCAACTAACTGTACAGACAGCAATGGTTAAACCAAATGATCTCAAAGGGATTTTTTGAACCCCCTTTAACTGAGAAATTATTATGTCTGGAGACCGGACAAAAAATGCCATTCAGAGACCAATCATAATGCATCACGTTAGCGGTACCAAGCCGCAGTACCGAGCAATACCGAGCCACAGTACCAAGTACATGATGATGTGGCGCATTTTGATTGGTCTTCAGACGACATTCGATGTCCGCACAGAATAATTAATCCCTTTAAACATGATAGCATGCCTTGTTATGCTGCAAACTGCTTTTGCCGATCACGAATCTGCTCTAATCTTAGAGGAAGGCGAGCAAGTGATGCATGAGTGCAGCTTCCCTGACATGAACCGCTTGTATAACAGCTAATTATCTGATGCTGCAAGTATACAGTTCATGCTGAATATTGTAGGTTTTAATATTATAAGTACTATGAAATGTGCTTCCTAATGTTTGATATATCCTATGTGTGCAGGAAGGGGCAAGAAAAAATCAACTGGTCAGTCAGATGTTGCAGCAAATGATGCCATGGTAGAGTGATTATCTGGAAGCGTTTTATCTCTAGTAATCTATAACGCTGTCTCACTAAAGTAAAAACATTTACGCTGTGATCTCCTGTGAAGATTTAGGTGAGGTATGTTTTGAACTATCTGTGCAGACTGAGTTCTAAGCAGTCTTATTCTTCAATAGTTGTTATTTTGTATAATAAATTTAATTTAAGGTTTAATGTAGTCATATTTTTCTTATTCAGACAACTTTCTTAAAATTTTTAGTTTAAAAATATTGCATCATTCTTATTTCTAATATTTATCTCTAATGAGATCTATATATGAAGATCTAGTTCGAGCTTGAGTTTGTTTACCCAAGTTGGGCTCAAACATGATCTGAGTATTTGTATTATTGTTCAAATTCAGCTCATTTGAAATTATAATTCTTTGCGTTTGGTTTAAGTTTTTTTTTTTTGGGGACATTTAGATCATTTAAGGCGAACTCACAGACACAACGCATACACAAAGACTCAAACTCATGACCTCTTAGTTGGAAGCCTAAGCTCTCAACCAACAAGTCAAAATGAGGTGTGTGTGTGTGTGTTTGGTTTTAGTTTCGAGTTTGTTGAAATTAAAGCTTGTTTGTTAATGTTTATTCCACAAAGCTCAATCAAATAAGCCTTGTGGAATAAACATTAACAAACAAGCTTTAAGTTCAACAAACTTGTTTATTAATAGGCTCGGTAAGTTTTTTATGGATAATTAACAAGTTGTTAATGGATAACATTATCAAATAGTTTGTTAATGATCCAAACAAGTTTTATTGAACTTATTAACAAACAAGTTTGTTGAATTAAAAAAAAAAAAGATATTTTATTTGAATGACTTTTAAATAAACAATTAGTTTAATAACCATCAATAGTTAGCATGTGGTTAGGACTGTCAAAATTGGGTCATGGATTTGCTTTGGGTCCAACTCGAAATTGACTCGGCATTGTTCGACCTGACTTGAACTCGTCTTGTTTTTGATTTTTTGGACCTGAACCCGACCTGTCGGGTATGTTTTACTAATTTTTTTTATTTAATTTGATTTGTTTAAATCTAAATTAAATTAAGGTAAGATTTATTTCAATCTATTTAAATAAATAAAGCTTAATTTAATTTGGGCAATATGGTTTATTATTTTTGGAAATAACATTTATTTATTTCATATCAATTTTTTAAAATTCTCTTAAATCAATTAAAAATGGGTCAAATCGGATTGATTTTGAATTTTTAGGTCAACCAGAATCAGACCTCATTTTACAAATGAGTTGAAATCTCTAACTTGAACTCTACCCAATTTGGGTTGTGTCAAATTTTGACACCCCTAAATGTGTTAGTGATAATTTAATATAGAAAAGAATAAGACTATATGCCATTGCATATAACTAAATTTATAATCAAATCTTAAATGAATATATTATCAAGCCTTAATTGCGCTTCTTACAAGCATTGTCATGACTTTGAAATGATATTGTTTATGATCATTTAGTATTTATAAAATATTCAAATTTTTTAATTAATTAAATAAATAATCATTAACAAATTCTAACATGCTAAGTCTATGTAAATAATCATTAGAAGACATGAGCAAAAGTTAAAGGTCAATAGACAAGAAACATTGAAACCTTAATCAAAAGTAAAAAAGAAAACATAAATCTTCCTACCACAACTTTCAAAAATGTATTTTGCATAAATTCAGCTTTAAAATAATAAAAAAAAAAACTTTAAAATAATTTGAACTCTAATTTCAACAAGTTTATGAGTGAACTTAACATATTGATGAGATGAATTCATAGACACTAAAAGCATTCTGATTCAACTTCAAATGAGCTCAAATTAAATATGTTAAATATATTTGAAAACATCTAAATATTAATTGATAGACCAAACGGTCTCTAATTTTGGTGTGCTTCTAGTCAAATTGAGTGATTTGATGAGACAAATCTAAGTAGTCCAAAATCATTTGATTTTGATATATTATTCAGGTGCTTAGATGTTTGATTAACAATATATGATTAAGGGGATTATAAGGACCGTATTATAGAGTGTTTGATATTTTGATCATACTACATAAGGGGGATGTTTAAGAGTTATGAGAGCTAAAGAACTCTATTATATTTTATGACAATCATTGTCGACTACCACATTCAACAATTGCCATCGCCATCAATAGCCTTTTGTCATCCCACAATTATCATTTCACTATTAACATATAACTGTTTCGTTTGATTTTAACTGTCCACTTGTTGACTTCTGTTTTTTGTAATCCTGACAACATGAATTAGATAATTATACTCAACTGTGTATATATAATCTCACATTCTTTCATTGTATTTAAAGAATGATTATTGTATCTTTTAATATAAAGTATATTAGTGTAATTGGGTCAGCTCTCGTGATTTTTCTCATTTTTAGGTTTTTACGTAAAAACTTTTATCGTTTAAAACTTTTTTCTCTGTGTTGCATTTTTGTCCATCACCACAAATTTTTTCAACATGTAACAAATTTTATTAAAAATAAAAAGAAGTGATGAAATTAGTGTTAAGTCACATATACTATATTCCTAATGAATTGGCATCCCTTATAATTTGTTGATGCTGGCAGCTACTTGCTTAAAGTTGCTTTAAATTAGCTTCTAGTGCCCTCTGATCTGAAAAATGATTTTATGCCTAAAAAATGCCAACCTTCAAGTTTTTGAAAATAAATCAAAAGTTGTTTTATAAACATTCAAAATAATTTTAAAATATCTTTGAGTATTTTTAAAAACAACTATCATCACCGTCCATTGTCACGGCCACCACTAACTGCCCCCACCATCTTCGTAGCATTTGTCACTACATCATCACCACTACGACTAGCACTATATAAATCAACTTATTTGATGTTTAATGAAAATAAAAATAATATATTTTCAAGGATACAAAATATATTTTATTTCATATCAAAATATTAACAAAAAAAAATTAAAAAAAAATTCCAAACGGCTTCTTAATTAAATAAAGGATAAATTTTTAGAGTAAGCATCATTAAAAAATATAATTAAGCGTTTAAGTATCAAGAACAAAATTAAAAATAGGCATCAGTCCCCCGTTAAATGGGGGACTAGTTGCTGAGTCAGTCTTGCTGACTTATTATGTCATTAGTAATTTATTTTTAAAAAATTAACTTAATGTGATTTGCCCTTTGAACGGGCGACTTAACATTAATTTAATTTAATTTTTTTAAAAATGAAATTATCTTGCTATCTACTTTTATAAAGCCCTACATTGTAATAGTCAAATAAGAAAAATTTGTATGTTCTAGAAACTTAAAGTAAAATATGTGAATTTTGCTTAGATATGTGATGTCAAAATGAATTGATGAATTATTACTGAGATGAATTTAAGAAGCTAATCAATGAGGTTAATCTATATTAGAAACAAGTACAATGAATTTATTATTATACTATAAATTTTTAATTGTGACAATACATTTTTTAGAGTTTTCCATTATTTATTGAAGTCTAATAAGTGTTAAATGCATAGGATTTAGAGAAGATTTATTATAAATAGAAAAATTGAGAGATGACAATTAAATTGTGAAGCTCAACAGTACCATAATAGTATTAATTCTTCACTACTTTGTCGTCATTAACTGATTTCATCATTTTCATGGATTCAGTTTTTTTTTTTTTTAAATAAAACAGATCATCCCGGTTAGGGGATAACCCGGTCGACCAAGCATGCAACCCACACCAATTTATACGGGCCAACACTTAAGGCTTGCACGAAGTGTTGAGGGGATTCGAACTCGGTACCTGGCCAATGGCCAGCCAGTTCTCCACCACCAGGCCACCCTGCGGTGGGTCAGTTTTTTTTTTTTTCATCTGAGAATGCCGAAGTTGTCATTGTTGATGAATTTGCAGTATAAAGAACGGTTATTTTGCTATTAATTACATATAAAAATTAAATGTATTTATATTCTTAATGACATGAGTAGTTATGTATTTATAATGTCATTAAATCAATTAATGACTTATAACTTCCAAATTAAATATTTTTATATTCTTAATGACATGAGCAGTTATGTATTTATAACTTCATTAAATTAATTGAATGACTTATAACTTTCAAATTAAATATATTTATATTCCTAATGACACTTTAATCCCATGTTAAAAGTAAATTAATTTTATTTGTCTTATGCCTGACATTTTCAAAGCAATGTTGAAATCCATGCATTGTGAATATATTTTTAATTATTTCTTAATCAAAGTTATCATTTGATGCATTTTTTTATATATGGATAAATTTTGATAAATAAATCAATTAATTTATTGATAAAATATATTTATCAATTAAATATTTCTCATTTGAAATGATTATTCATTATTTTAAAATTAAATTAAACTAAAATAATATATCACCAAAGTGATTTCTATTAGATCAATTTATTCAATTTAAATTAATTAAATAATGCTAAAGATTTTTTAGTCTACGTGAAAATTAATCGTTCCAAAGGACGATTATTTTTTTGGTCGAAATTTAAAGATGTAGTAATAAATATGTGATTTTTTTAATTATTCATGCATATAGTAAGTTCGTAAAAAAAATTTATTATTAGTAGAATTTATTATCAATATTTATTAACTATAATTTTAAGAGTATCGTTTACAAATTATAATTTTTGTCGATAGATTGAATTATGATGTTGTGTTATGTATCTTATAAATTAAAGGTACCACCTTATACTGTTACTAATTATGAGTTAATTATTTTGTTCTTTTTCAATTAATGTTTCTTCATTATTTGTCAATTTAAATAACATTTTAGTGCTTAATGGTTCTAATTTTAAGAAATGGAAAGAGCACATTATTGTTGTTCTTGGATGTATGGATCTAAATTATGAGATTCAGATTGAACGCCCTTCTACCCTTACTGTAGAAAGCACTATTGAATAAAGGGCGGATTTTGAAAAGTAGGAGTGTTCAAATCGCATGATTCTTATGATCATAAAACATTGTATGCCAGATATCATAAGGGGTGTAATGTCTAAGGAGAAAAATGCTAAGAAGTTCCTAAGCCAAATAGCATACTGTTTGTAGGTTCTAAAAAGGTCAAAATAAATACTATTCTTATTAAACTTATTTTAATACGATATAAAGGCAAATGGAACAAAAGGAAGTACATTATGAAAATGTATAATCTTGTTATAAGACTAAGAGCATTAAAGTTAGAAATGCCTAATGATATTCTTGTGCATCTAGTCT